TATCCCACGGGCCTGAAACAGAGCAGCTCAGGCTCCTCCAGCCCATTCCAGGGATGGAACAGACCATGAGCAGAGCATTAGTAGCTCAGCAGCCAGGCTGAGACAGGCTAAAAGCTGAAATTAGGCAAAGACAAGGCAAGTCCAGCCCAGTGGAGCCTCCCAGCATTGCAGCCACGGGTCAGGGTCACATCTCCCACGGTGCTGGGAGGGACAGGGCAGCTCCACGAGCAGTGAGAGCTCCATACTGGCATGGCTACAGTGAGGAAGGAGAGTGGGAGGCAAAGCCAGGCTTCAGGTGTCTCATTTGGGCTGAGGATGAGAGGACATGGCCTCAATCTGTGCCAGAGGAGGTTTAGGTTGGACATCAGGAGGAATTTCTTCCCAGGGCTGCTCAGGGAGGTGGGGAAGTCACTGTCACTGGAGGTGTTCAAGAAACAACTGATGGTAGGACTTAGTGTTCTGTTCTGGTTCAAAAGGTGGTGACTGGTCAAAAGTTGGACTTCATCTTAAAGGTGTTTTCCAATCTGCTTGATTCTGTAATTCTGGGATGAGATAATTCTGACTGAAGAGCTGAACCAGGTTACCAAACAGGCATGCCTGGTACACACACATCAAATTAACATCCAGCTACCCCAAAAGGCACCTTCCTGGTGCTCCATCCACCAAACACTTTCAAGTCCCTCCTTTTCACCAGCTCTGGCACTTGTTTGACCTCTCAGTGAGTCAACTCCAGAACTGCAGGGCTGGCTGCCAGCTGAATGCCAGACTGGATTGGGTTGGAAGGGAAAACTCATCCAGTTCCATCTCCCTGCCATGGGCAGGGACACTTTCCACTAGCCTAGGTTGCTCCAAGCCCCATCCAACCTGGCCTTGAGATACTTTCATCTCCAAAATATTGAAAATATCTGCAGAGCTGAACTTCTCTACCCACTCCTTACTTCTCAGATACAGAGCTATCACCAGTCACAGACCAGTAAATTTCCTCTTGAAGATCATCTGTCCTGTGCACACATCCATGCCCAAATTGCACAAGAAGCAGCAAAATGGGAGCAAGATATCCTTGTGGGGAAGGGAAATGGCACAGCTCTGCCTTGATTTATGTAGTCTATGCAGACCTGGACAATAAAACAATAGACCCAGAAATCCAGGTTGCAGATAATTCACCCCCAGCAAAGAATCCCTGGGCAATCTTCTCCCACACAAAGTGGTCCTGGATGGACAGGACAAATCCCTAGAATGGGGATGGACCAGTTTCAGACACAAGAGCTGCTGGGAACTTCTTGCAGTGACCACCAGGACCACACAACCCACTGGGTCACTTCCTTCCCCCAGCTGGAAAACTGAGGTAGGAGTTGGTTTCCCACGGAAATATGAAATAGTCTAGCAAGGCACAAGGTTGATCACAGATCTATAGACAGCAGGACTCCCACAGTGGCACATCCACCAAATAGAATTAATCCATACTTGCTAATTGCCCAAGTAACAATAACAGCTGTAAGACAGCTTGGTCCCATCCCCCAGCTCCCAACACCACATTTATGGAAACACTAAAAACCACAGACCTAAAAACTAAAAACCTCATAGTACACCACAAAAATCAGTATCCCTCATTGCTGGAATCAAACTGCAAGGCTTGCAGTGGGGTTTTAGCAAGGAAATGGAAATCACACTGGCATACAATTGTTCCGCCTCCCTGTTCGCCTTCACACATTTCTCACAGGTCAATTTTAAAGAATTAAGTCTTGTTCAGTGAAACATCTGGTGGCTGTTGCTAGAGGAAACCGACTATCTGCAACATTTGAGCAAAAATAATGAGTTACATAAAAGCCAGACTGCATAAGCAAGGACAAGTGTTTTGCCAGTCTGTGAATCTCAAAACTTTACATGAAACCTCATGTTTCGTTTTTGGGTTATAGAATACAATGAAGTCAACTCACAAGCATTACAAAACCCATGAAGATTTGAGTTTTCCCTAAGTTTATGAGGATATAATTGTACTGCAACTGTCCTACAGATTTTCTGGCAACAGCATAGACAGATGAATTACAGCTTAAAAATGGGCCATTTCAGCTTTAGGCACTTTCACACTCAGCTCAAGACAGAACAAGTTCAAGAGTTACAGGGTTTTGGTCTTTCACTGTTTGAGTCAGTTCTCCTATGCCTAATGGAAGGATATTTCCCCCTAATGCTACAGATCACCTTCTCCTCAGGGTTTCTCAGTGTCTGGAGACCAACACAGACCAGCTGAGGCTGCACTGGGCTGAGGAGAAGCTGGGATCTCCTGGGAGAAGTTGAGAAGAGCTCTAATATATCACCATACACATCCACAAGACCAACCAGAAGCCTTTAAGATTTCAGAGCTTTGATGGGGGCTCTCCAGCTCCTGAAGTCCCACAACTGGAAGGACAAAAATTCCCAAGAACACCTCCAGCAGGCAGCTCTAACATACTGGGATTGCACTTCACACGATGTACCTTTCTACAAATAGATATTGCTGTTTTTTGAGGAGTGCTTAAGCACTTAAATAATCCAGAAGCCTGATGGATGACTAATACAACTGGAAAGCTCCGGGTACAAAAAGAAATTTAGGCTTCCCCACATTCCCAGGGCTGCTCTCAGGATGCAAGCAGGGTGCAGAGGAGGCACCTGTGGCCCTCATACCTGTCTCCCTGTCTTTGGACACCAGCTTGAGGCTGCAGCTGCTGCTGCTCTTGTTCATTTATGCCACCCAGGGGAAAAAAAATTTGCACCTAAGGCCAAATTCCTCAAGCTGGACATGGCTGACTGAGCACACTATGGCAGTGCCAAGAGCCAGCTCCTCACTCACATGGATAAAGTCTGGTTCTGCAGCACAATGAGGGAGGGAAGCATCTGGCACTGGCTTCAGTGGGGCTGGGAAGAAGTCAGGCCAGTGCACCTTGGGGAAACTGAGGCAGGGAACATGCAGGTGAGGACACACACAGACAAGGGATGGCATGAGGCAGAGTGCTGGCTCACAGCAGCACCTGTGGGAGTCACAGAATGGGAAAAACAGCTGTCTTTAAATACTAAATTAAAATATACAGAAAGATTAAAGGAGGCAGGAACAGAAAACAAGCTTCACCCAAGTGAAAAAGCATGCTAGGAATGCAAATTTGGGAAATAGGTATATCTGAGGCAAAAAACTTCCCAAGATCCCAGACATCTTACAGGCAGGATACAGAAAAACAAGCCAGTGACTTCAGCTCCAAAAGAAACCCTCCACAATATCACAACAGCAAAGCTTTAGACTGCAGGGGCTTCTCTCTGAGAAAAAAAAATATGAAAGAAGGCCCAGGCAGAAGAAACAGCCTCTGCTGGGCTCACAGAAGATATTAAAGCTCTGTACTGCACCAGCCTGAACTGCTCAAACTAAACACTTTTCAACAATTAATGACACTCCTACTACTGTCACCAAAAATAGACAAATTGGTTTTAGGGAATGAAGCTGCAAAAATAATTTGAGATACAATATCAAGCAAAATTGGAACCAGATTTCTCCTCCAGGAGAAAGCTGCTGAGAAGATGAAACTGTGGCCCATCCACTGTGCTCCCTCCTAGCTCCAGCTGAAATTACCAAAAGGCAAGAGCTCATGAAAATTTCTACAGAGAAAATTCTAAATGGAAATTATAATTTTAAAAGAATTTATTTTGTTGCATCACTTTGGCCAAAAATAGAAACAGCATTCCCAAAGGATGCTGCACAATTATGGCCCTAAACAAAACATCCCAATGAGTTAATCAGGATCACTAAGTCTGCAGAGAAAAAATTGTTTATCACTACATAAATGCTTTTTCACAAGTCCAGAAAGGGAACTCTTATGACAGTTTCAGCCTTTATGTGCACCCCAAAACCCCCCTGTGCTAAGCAGGGACTTGCACTTCCTAAAGGTCACCACCCTTACCAAACCAGAACACTCCCTGGTTTATTTTCATGGAATCAAGGGATCTACCCTCACTGGAATCAGTCCAACACTCTCACCTACAAATACAATTCCATTTGATTTCTGGAGAGGAAGATTTTCCCAAGAACTTCAGTTTTGAGTTATCTGCTCATTCCATAGGTGAGCTGTTACAGATTGGATAACCTGGCCCTTATTTTATTTGTCACACAAACACACTTATACACACAACACAACAACTCTGCTCTGAGTTCACCACAAGAGACTCTGGACTCTCCCTGCCTTTAATCCTGCCCAATTTCCTTGTTAGTCACTGACAAGCAACACTGCAGCTACCTACTTCTCAGCTCTACATGTGTCTTTCTAAAAATAATGCCAGGGAAAGGAAATCAGGGATGTAAGTTCCCAGATAAGTGACTTCAGATGAAAAATGCTGACAAAACTGAGAGGAAAAAAAAAATCAAAATGGAAATAAGGAATAAGAATTGAACAACTTACATTTGGGTCTCTAAGCATCCTTCCATAGGCTTGGCAGATATTTTATTGATAATTCAGATAAAATACTGGATTTTTAGTGTCTTGCTTTAAGTAGAGAATCAAAGAATCACAGAAGGGTTTGGGTTGGATGGGACCTTAGAGATCAGCTTGTTCCATCCCCTGCCATGAGCAGGGACACCTTCCACTAGGCCAGGTTGCTCCAAGCCCTGTCCTGGCCTTGGATCCTTCCAGGGATGGGGCAGCCACAGCTGCTCTGGGCAGCCTGTGCCAGGGCCTCCCCACCCTCACACAGAAGAATTTCTTTATTGTATTTAACCTAAATTTCCCCTGTTTTAGTTTGAAGTCATTCTCCCTTGTCTTGTTCTGGATGGACAGTCCCTCTCTGGCTTCCCTGTAGTCCCTTCAGATCCTGGAAGGTTCTCTGAGATGTCCATGCAACCTTCCCTTCTCCAGGTTGAACAGCCCCAGTTCTCCCTGTCTCCACAAGGGAGGTGCCTCCTATCAAATGCAGGTGAGCTTGGGTTTTTTAGGAAGGAATATTTGAGCTCCAAGCTAAGACACTCTGGAACATCTGACACTTACCACCTGATGTGTAATTCACTTCTTAGGTTTGTTATCCAAAATCACAGGGCAGGGAGCGCTGGGGCACGGGAGCAGCAGAGCAGCCAGGCACTCATATCTGTACTGAACCTGGTGAGGAAGAAAACACACTTTAGGAAGGCTCCATGCAACAGTTTACACCAGTGACTTCCAATCTTACTGTATTCTGCTTAAAAACAAAAAAGGCATTGTTTGGTTTCAGCTGGATATGGGAGCATCCAAGTACTGGGGATGAAACAGAGCCCAACCCCTCTGCTCATAGGAAAATCATTCTCCTTACCCAATGTCAGGGCAAACTCATAGCTTTCCATGCAATAAATAATATGAACTTCAGAAGACAGTGTGTTTTTAAAAAATACATATTCCTGTCTCTTCAGTAACAGGAGGTTTGGTTTTGGGGAAACAGGTTCCCAAACCTGAACTTCCTTGGTGCAGTGTGCCTGGGCTGGCTCCATCTCCTCCATGCTTCAGGCACTTTGGTCAGAAGGAAGCACAAGGTTTTTTTGTTTGTTTCTGACTTTATTCCTTAAAAAACACCCTCCAGAGCAAGGGGAGTGCACTGTAAGACAGGTGTGGAAAGTCAAACTGAAATGGAACTATTTCTGGGTAACTCTGCCCAGAGCAACCAGAGACAGCCTGTTCTGTTCTGCACTCAAAACTTGGGCACGTAATGCCCTTTGGAAGAAAACACATGGAGAGTTCTAACAGAAATGAAAATCTCAAAAAGCAACTTTAAGTTCTGACTGTCATCTAAAGAAGACCCTTCTGAAACACCACAGGAGATTCCCTTATACAGGCTATGAGCAACCAGAACCTCAATGAGTATTCCAAGCTAGATTATCACTTTATCCTTATTTTTCCAACTGCTACAGCAAGGTAACAGTAAAGGCCCATATTAATATCCTAAAACAGAGGGTGTTTTTGCTTTCTCCAACAGGAAGTGCAAGACAAACCAAAGGCACTGTGGCTGTGCTGCTGAGTGACACCACTGACAGAAGCACATGGGAATTTGGTGTCCACCTCTGACCTGTCCTTTCAGGAGCTTGTGGTCAGTGCAGCCCAAGCCACACCCGTGCCCTTCTGATGTTGTTCATGGTTTCTGTCCTCCAGAAGCCTCGAGGATTGCTCACTGGGGTTGTAGCAGACTTTGAAAGTCCTCACGAGCTCCCAACAGCTATCGTTAATTAATCCTCCTCTACAATTATCCAGCACCAGCTTCGGAATGAAGCCAACCACCACTGTGAGGAACACACACCACTACTCCAGTGCACAAGCAATGACACACTCCTCTCAAATGAAAAGGTATTAGGGAGCTGAATGGAGCCCTCAATGTAAAATTTACTGTGAAGCATTTAAGGCCAACTTTTGTTCTACTTGATACTGAAGTAATTCCAAGTTATTTGACCAGGTCAGAGGCTGCAGCAAGGAAGAACCAGCCAAACTTCTACCAAACCAACCAAGACCTAAAATAAAGGGAAAACACAAGCACCTATTCACAGGAAAACAGAGATTGCAGCTTTATTTAGTCACTCGTCATCCACTCCTGGGCAAAAAACTGGAGCATCCCATTAACATGACAGTCCACATACTTAAATACTGAACACCCTTTCAGCTCTGCTGTCTTGCCACCTGGAACATGCCCTACTTAAACTTAGAAAGAAAAACAAAAGCTGTGCATAAAAAAAATCCAGATGGGTTTATTGGCCAGAAACTTACTCAGTTTCCTTACACCAATCCCAATGTTTGGTGGTGACTCCAAACAAGGAAGCGAAACAGAAGACTCTATTTATAATACACTCCATGGTACAATGATTCACTTTAGGAATAAAGGTAAATAAATCATCTCGTGCCATCCTAGGGTTCAGGTTTGAACCAGGGGTTAGGCATTATTCATGTTCTGCTCAAAGAACAAGATGACCAGCACGTTACAGAGGATCAAAGTGTAACGTGGGAAAATCCCCGTGCCAGTCAGACTCTGCCACTTCCTACTGGCAAGGCCAAGTGACAAAACCCATCCCTACCTCGTTCAAGACCTTTTTTTAGCAGACCTTTTGACCTGAAACACAGCAAACATGACTCCCACGTTCACACAGATGGACTCCAGCATCTTGAGAGAACCCCAGGTTCAAAATGCAGAGCTTGGTCTCCATCCTTTCCCTGGCCATACACCCAGAAATCCCATACACCCAGAGAAGCCAGGAACCTCGTCTGGCTGCAAGCATGGCATGGAGCAGAAAGGCACCTCTGGCAGCAGCAAAAAGCAATGTTTAGCAAGTGAGAATATGTGGACAGCCCTGTTGGAGCACCAGTTTATCATGGTAACGAGCTCCAGCCTCTCCCTTTCCCTCCAGCCTTGATGTCCAAAGACTGACATTATAGAGAATCCAGGGACCACATCCCTGGGTGAAGGGAAGAATACGGCAGAATGAAAAATAACAATGAAAGAGGAAGTCTGAAACTGTGACTGGCAAGTGGGACCCTTTCTAGCTCTTGACAAATAATGAACAGTGTCTGAAGATGCTTAATTAGCATCCTCAGACACTGAGCCCATTTTCTGTGACATGTCCTGGCATGGACAGCTCCAGAGAGGCCTCAGGCCCACACTGTGGCAAGTGGGACCCTTTCTAGCTCATGACAAATAATGAACCCTTTTTGCACTTAATTGGCATCTTCAGACACTGAGCCCATTTCCTGTGACATGTCCTGGCATGGACAGCTCCAGAGAGGCCTCAGGCCCACAGACACACCTGGAGCTGAACAGGCCTTGATGTTTTACAGCCATGCAGGAGTGGTGCAGTATCCTTCCACGAGGATGCTTTGCTTTGTCCCAGGCGCTTCAGCAAGAAGTGACCTCTTTTCCAGAGTGCCAAAGGCAGGGGGACATGAAGCATTCAGGGCTGTGGAGCTGGGCATGGCTCCCACACACCTTCTTCAGGACAAGACCCTCTGCACCAGTCAACAGGACCACAGCAAAGTGGTCTCTTGGCAGCACATGGCCAACAAGCAGCATGTTGGTCAGCCCTCGAAGAGCACTTGAGGAAGAAGTTCTTTACCTCTTCCAGGTGAGGCACTGGAACAGACTGTGGACTCTCCATCCCTAGAAGTATTCAAGGCCAGATTGGATAGGGCTCTGGTCTAGTGGAAGGGGTCCCTGCCCACAGTAGGGTCAGAATGAGATGAGTTTTGAAGGCCCATTCAACCTAAACCATTATCTGAATATCACAGAAACACCACCACACTGGCTGGAGAATCCACAAAGATCCCCAAAAACTCTTTGAGCTGTCAGTGTGAGAGAACAGGGCTCCACCAGAAGCTTTAAGCCTTGCTGTTATTTTCCACATTACTTTTCCAAGCAATGAGCAGACGAGAAGTTTGTTTCAGTTCCAGAGTGAAAACTAACATCCTTGAGGGCATCGTGTGAAAAGCTAGCATTTGCTACCTAGAGTACACAACCAGGTCTTTCATCTCCTCCAGGGGCCAGGGAAATACTTGCCAGCCTGAACCAGGAGGAGAGACTTCTGTGGCATAGTGCTTCCAAGGTGGGGGTAGAGCACAGCCACTTTTTGGCTCCTCAAGGAGGACATGGCTCCTGCCACAGCAGGGAAGGTGACTCTACAAATCCACTTCTCCATAGTTCTCTCAGGAAGCTGGTGCACAGATAGATTTTGGATTTTTTGTACTTCAGCTCATTATTATTTTATTACCAGTTAGCAGCACAAAACTCTGGGTAGCACTTTGAAAAAGCTTCTCATCTTTAGGCTCGAGGTGTTTGTACTCGTCCCAAATTAAAGCATAAGAACAATATTCAAATTCCAGCCTAATGGACATGGCCCTACTCCCAAGTGCTCACACCATCGAGCACAGCAGAAAAGGTACAACTGCTCCCACCAGCATCAGAGGATGGAACACAACCTCAAGAGCCAACACGATGCTCCAGCCCTTGCATGGAGCTCAGACCATGAGAACCTGGCTTAGCAGTGCCCAGAAAGCGTAATTCTCCAGAAATAAGTGACTTATCTGAAAAGCAACCCATCAGTCCTGGATCAGTGGGGGTTCACATGAGCAGACTCTCAATCAAAGCATTCCACACTCATGTGGAAAAAGACAAGGTCTCTGCAGAGCTGCTCTGATGTGTGGTCACCTCAACTCTGGCAGACAGCTTCAGCATAAACAACAAAGAGATGAAGCTGGAGCTGTGTCAGGGGAGGGTTAACTTGGATATTAGGAAAAGGTTCTTCCCCCAGAGGGTGCTGAGCACTGCCCAGGCTCCTCAGGGAATGGTCACGGCCCCAAGGCTCCCACAGCTCAAGGACCTTTTGGACAGCACTCTCAGGCAGAGGGTGGGATTGCTGGGGACTCTGTGCAGCACCAGGAGTTGGATTTGATGATCCAATTCAGCCCTCATGTCACATCCTCCAAGAAGCAAAGAGGTGAACCAAAGAATAGGGCGCAGCTAGCTTGACCTCCAGTTTGGAAGAGCACCCGTGCACACACGTTTGGGAAGGGAAGGAAGAGAATAAGAATACTGTGCATTTTTCCCACTTCCAGTGGTTTGTATTTCTGGGCCTCCCCAAGTCAGTTTGGGCATCTGAGTGTTCTGGGTGTGATTGCTAGAGCTGTCCTGTGCAAGGTGAGCAGCTGGACTTTGCTGATCCTCGTGGGTCCCTCCCAACTCAGGCCACTCTGCAGTTCTATCAAGAACACTCAGTGCAGTCTCTTGGTGAGTGTGTCCAGCTCTTCTCCAGACTCACACAAAGTTTTTGTAGCCCCAGTAGTCCCTGGCTACCTGAGCAACATCTGAACTCACCTCCTGTCAGCTCCATTAACCCTCTCTGGACCTCATGGCAGCAGCAGGGACTGTCCTGCCAATGCACCCCTGATGGTTTTGTGACCTGACGTATCCCCCTGCTGACCCCCGAGTGTCAGACAGCTCTAAATAACCACTTCTTGGCAGAAGAGACATGAACTTTGACTGCACAGACTCAATAAACAGCATTTTGCTGTGAATAAATCAGTGACATCATCTGCTGATTATCAGCAGATATCAAAACCAGCAGAGCAGCACCGAAGCAGAAAGGACCTCAATGACACATTAAG